TAATCACAAAGTATGAATGAAAAATACAATTTCTATATTTTTCAAGTAATTCACCATTATAGCATATGACAAATTCAGCATTTAATTGGTATTGGTTTATATGTTTACTTTTCATATGTAACATTTACATTTTTAAATTATTTTAAAAATAAAAATTTATTTTTACAACTTTTAAAATTTAATGATTGTGGTAAAAAGTAGAATTAGCATATGAAATGGCATTATGCATTGAGTTACAAATAAAAATAAAATGTCAAATATATCATTATCACATTTTTCGCCTTTCGGTGTTAAATATACATTTTTTTTTTAGGAAAAGATTTCATTTTATTAAGCCAAATCCGCAATAACAAACGGCGTTACAAAGCGAGGGATAACATATGTACCAACTAAGTCGCTAACTGCATGAAATGCATAAGTACTAGCTAAAACATGTGCCACAGAATTTCCTAGCCTACAAATGTGACTACACTCCCAACCAACCACCTTATTCAGTGACCTAAGAATGTCTTCGATAAACACACCTTCCTCAGCCAGGGTGAAAGCCTTGCTGAACTGCCTGCACAACTCTTAGCGAAGGGAATTACTTCTCGCAGTGCTACGCACTCAACCACAAAGGGACTGAACACACCCGGGACTTTCTTGGACAGGCGTGCCACCACAGCACCAGTGTGATCTCGAATAACTGCTCCTAATCCCATAAAGCCCATGCCCTCTCGGATAGCCGCATCTGTATTTAGCTTTAGCATCCCAGCAGGTGGTGCACTCCATTTGCATATAGTCTTCTTTTGAGTCAGGCTCACACACTCAGTGACAGAGTCAAGATTTATCAGTAGGGGGCCAAAAATTTTTTTTTCTTAAGATTATTCTAACATGTATATATACGTATATGTAATAGTTTTTTTTATGAAATTAATTCATGACATATTGACACATAAAAACATCAATATTGTATCTACGTAGGAAAACATATCACTGTTAGTCCATGAACTTTGAAGCGTCAATCACTAATGTGTAATGAATAACATAACCTAATTACATTTGAACTTTAAAGTACCAATCACTAATGCGTAATGAATAAAAAAAAATTTCCTAAATTAGACATTGAGATAGAAGGAAAAAAAATATTAAGATTATAAAGGGAAAAAAAAGAGAAGAAAAAATAAAATATGAACTTGAATAATGGAGAAAATTTCCAAATTTCTTTCAATCTTTGATTTTGATTTTTCAAACAATTTAGATATAACCTTCATTCACTAACTTGTTGAGTCAAAGATTGAAAACAATTTTAGATACAACTTATAACTTGTCGCTTCGGTGGTGGGCATTAATTTACGAAAATAGTTTGGATATAAATTACCTTCAATGGATAGAAAAGAAATTTCAATAGTGCCGCTATCGTGCTTGAATAGTGTTGTGACTTATTGATGTAATGATATTCTGGATATTTATTTGAGAATCGATGAAGAGTTAGCTTACCTTGCAAGCTTTTAGTATAGACAAAATATCACATTTAGTATAAATAGGCTAGTATTTTAATTGAGCTATTAAAATTGTTAGATTTTAGTCCTAATAATGTTTATGGACTTAATAAAATTGAATATTTTAAACAAAATAGTAGATATTTCTAAATTTAAAGTGTTTTGGATGGACATTTATGTAAATAATTCTTTTATATTTTAAAATATAAATAGTTGTTCTAATAATATTAATTTAAAGGGATGTCAAGTTTAATTTATACACATACCTACTATAATAAAATTAAAATCACTATATTTATAATAAATAAATAAATAAGCTAGGGGCCATGGCCCCCCAAGACCTTTAGAATCATAATGCCATATCCATCAATCTTCACCCCGTCCATTAGCCAAGGGGATACTAAGAATAATATCTTGATCAACCGGAAGAAACAAGCTATGAATTAAGGTTCGATCCCATTGCCTATTGGTGATCAAGTGCTCCACTCTCCGGTCCTCAATGTAGAAAGGTGCCAAATATAAAATTAATATTAACATTTGCGTCTAAGAACATTTTCTGATTTTGTGTGACTTTTTAAGAGGCTAGAAAAGGTTCTCCTCGTTGCTGGCATGTATGGGAACTAGCCACTTTGATGTGGGTCTCGGTTGTCCTAGATCTGGTTAATTTGGGCCTGAACTCTGAATGGCCCATCCATGACCCTTGCAATACTCTACCAGTATGTCCGCCTCTCTTATCCCAAGTCAATCTTTCTGTCTGCTGCCCAGTGCCCAGGAGGTACGTAATAGGCTGTTTGTCTATTCAAATATCGCAAGTACACGTCACTTTAAAACCATGCAAACTACCTCGTACGTTGTCTAACGAGTATCTAAAGCTCAATCTAGCTTTTGATATTGGTTTTCAACTTTACTTTTCTCCTGCTATGTTTCTTTGTTTGTCTAGTTATATGACTTTTAAGTGTTTGTTATAATGCCTGAGTACCTCTCAACTTATAATTCTCTTGGCACACTCAATATGCTTTTGCAAAGAAAGAGAGAGAGGAAAAAAAAGAATGGGTTTTTTAAAATTATTTATCTGAATTTGGTGTACGGAGGTTTCGGTTTTGTGTAGTCCAAAAGGAGAGAAATTTGGTAATTGAATTCTCAATTTTATTGTGGGCAAAATCTATAGAGAGAGATGCTTCCAAGAGGCAATAAAGCAAACTTTTGCCTCAGTGTGTTCTTTCCTACAATTTTTCAGCAGTTCAATTGATTTTATATATATATATATATATATTGCAGTTCAAGGATAAACTTGTGTTATGTCTATCATGCTTCTTCGGCGGCTATCAGTTGCATTTCCTCACTCAAGAAGGTTTCTTAGCAGTAACAGCAGCCATGATCTCTCAAGTGCTATAATGGAACTCAATACGGTAAATCACTGCCTAATTAAGACCCGGTTATTCCAATCTGAATATTTGAAAATTTGAAAAATCAGGTGTTGAAAGTTTATGATATGTTGTCATACTTTTGAATTTTCCATATCCGGGTTATAGGAAATGGAATCGGTATTTGGTGAACCTCCTTCGAATTATCTTGCCAGTTCAGAAAGTAACAATTACACAGCTCAAGAACCACCCAACACTCCTCAAAAAGGAGGAGAAACCGCAATTGGTCTAACCCATGTAGGGAGTACAGGGACAGCGCAAATGGTGGATGTTTCTTTTAAAGGAAGTAGCAAGAGAACTGCCATTGCTAGTTGCAAGGTGATCCTTGGCAAGAAGGTGTATGATTTGGTATTAGCCAACCAGATTGCCAAGGGCGATGTCCTCAGCATGGCGAAAATTGCAGGCATAAGTGGAGCAAAGCACACCAGCACTCTCATTCCACTATGTCACAACATAACTCTGAGCCATGTTCGCGTCGATCTGACACTGAATCCCGAGGATTGGAGCGTGGACATTGAAGGGGAAGCGGCATCAACCGGGAAAACTGGGGTTGAAATGGAAGCCCTGACGGCTGTGAGCGTGGCTGGCCTAACAGTGTATGATATGTGCAAGGCTGCTTCAAAGGATATCCGGATTACGGATGTACGTCTAGAGTGCAAAACTGGTGGGAAGAGTGGGGACTGGTCTAGACAAGCATAGTAGAGATTTTGTTGTATTTGAGATTCCCTTCTTCATTTTTAAATGAATTGTTTCGCTTTTGGAATTCTAATGTGTATTGATCATTGCATACCTTATTCTGATAAGAGTAGTTCTGTTTTGAATTCCTAGACAAGCATGTTTGATCCCAAATTTTCCTTTTGTCTTCTTTAGTGCTATGCTTGGTAGGATGGATAGAAAAGAGGAAGGAAATAGAAGTAAAATACCTAGGTGAAAGAAGTAAAATAGTTCTCTCATGTTGTTTGGTATAAGAGAAAAAAAAAGTAAAAAGAAAATGTCAAATTTAAGATATTTTATAATAATACCCCAATACAAATAAAAATATGATGAATGATGAAGGTTAAAATTGTTATTTTACATCTCATTTTTTTGTCAAATTGTTTTCATCCTATTTCCTTCCCAAAGTTAGAAGGGTTAAAAATTAGTAGGCCTCATAGATTTTTATTTTCCTTCCTTTCTCATTTATTCTCTACGAAACAACTTAAAATTCTATTTTCCTCCACAAAATCCTTTCACTCTCTTTTTTACCCTACTAAACACACTGTAGAAGTGAGTAACTGTTGCTTAATCAATTTGCCATTACTTCTTGTAAATTCACACTGTGCATGAATAGACTAATGCCAAATGCTAATCCTATTCTGTACTAAAGCTTGACAAATATTTCTACTCATGAAAATTACTTAAAAGGTCAAGTTTTACCTCCAGGTTGCATTGGGAAAAAAAAAAAAAAAAAAAAAAAGTCTCAGATACAATTGAGTCATGTTAAATACTTTTCCAAGTTCTAGGCAGAATATGTTGATTAATGGTGAAGCCATAAACAAAAATGTCGGTAAGGGCTTCTATAGTTTATGAAACTCTCTAATCTATAAAAAGAGAAAAGGGAAAGACAAATCTAAGAATCTACTCTTACTAAAAGACTTAACTGTGTTGTTTAAAGCTAATGTGAACGTGTACATTTGCAGGTTTTTAATTCGTGAACCTCGGTATGCAATTCTTGATGCCTAGTTGAGAGCTTACAACACGCTTTTTGTTCTTTCCAGTTTGTGATTCCTCCTTTTTACTCTTTTTCACTTTTAAAAGTGCTTCTTGGTGCACATGTCAGGTGGCCCATATGTGCTTTGTCCCCTCTGTCCACATTACAAGAAGATTTTTTATTTTTTATTTTTAAATTTTTAATGTTCACCCTCTATTATACATATAACTTTTGTTTTTCTCTCTTTGCCCTTTGTTATTTTCTTTATTTTCACCCTTTTTTTTTTGTTAGTCGGGAAGTTATAAATATATTCATCCCATTCTCAACAACCTCTCCTTGAATAGCCTGATCTGTGTATATGAATTATCAAAGTGTGTATTTGATGCCTAACCACTTTACCTACTTAGAGAGTTAGAGGTATTTCAAAAGAGAGAAAAAAAATAATAAAATAATCTCAGTTGGAGAGTTAAGAGGACAGTGGGAAAAGGCTGACAGTGCGTGCTTTCATTATTTTCCCCTACCTTCCTCAAATTAATGGGCATACCCAACTCACCCATACAAATTAACTCCAAATAATAGTAAGTCCTTCCGGTACAATATATCTGTAAATGCAGTGGAGGAAATCACTGCCGATGATTCGTTAATTTAAATTTTTAATTGGAGTTTAAATGTGATATTATAAAAGAATTTTTTACTGTAATAAAAAAGTTAAATATGACTATTTTTGAGAATTTTTTACTGTAATAAAACTCAAATTTTAAATTCGAATCAGCGAAATGAACGGGACCGTACTGAACAAAGTGCTGGCTTTCGTTGCAAAGAAGCGTGTATAACTCTAATAAAATCCTGAGAAATATGTAGTTACTGTTGCAATATTCACAATGTATATATATATATATATAAAAAGAGAGAGAGAGAGAACGTATTATGGTCTAATCTATGAGTTGTATTCCTTTGATTATACTGAGATAATAAAGGTTGAGATTGGTTCCCGTATCTGGGTATATGCTTGTTTACTTATGTTCTCCTTGTTAATTCCTTCATCGTTTATTTGTACGAGCCTGTTCACTTGTGAATTGGCCGAGGAAGCTCGCAACCTTACTGTCATTAGAGAATAATTTGGGTGAAAGAAATTAGCCTCTCAACATGAATTATACACACACATATATATATAAACTGCTATGTAAATATGAGAATTAATTCTTTTACTTTTTGTCATGTCACAATTTTCTTTTGAAATTATTTTCATAAATATTCCTTAATTATGTACCTTATTTTAAAGTATTTTTTAATTTTTTAAAACAGTTTAAAATAATTTTTTAATATATAAAAAGCAGTTCGAATAACCCTCCGTTTATCTCCGTTTATTGTTTTAATAGAAAAGCTGACCTAACACGCTGTTAAAAATTAATTAAAGGCATTAATAATTTAACCTCATCTATTTAAGGTTATGCTCATTTCACCAATTTAAATTTAAAATTTGAGTTTTGTTACAATAAAAATCTCTAAAAAACAATCACATTTAATTTTTTTACTACAGTAAAAAATTCTCACATAAAATTACATCTCAACTCGAATTAAAAACTCAAATCAGCGAACTAAACGGCCTTAAAACACAAAAAAATTAAAAACATTTAACAAAAAATAAATAGCTTATTAGCTATGTTAACCCAAACTTCCCACCCCATCCTTTCCCCGAAGTTACCACCACCTTCCCGCCGGCGACCTAAGCCTCAACCACCATCATGGCTCTCTCTCTCTCTTCTTCTTCCCCGCCGGCGACGTATCTCTCTCTCTCCAAACCTGTTACAAAACCTAACGTTCTAGAGGTCGTCATCGGAATTGGCTGGCTTGCCGGCGTTTGTTCGGGAGGGGGGCAGTTGGCTCGTGACGTGGTTTGGTTAGGTTTTCGAGAGGGGCGGAGCGGCGGAGGGCTTGCGGTGTGGGCGAGATCGCAATCGCGGAGCCTTGGGTTTCGCGGACCCCAAGGAGGATTTCCGGGAGAGATCTGAGTCAGTTGCAGGTGGATTGCAAGGTGGGTGGGAGCAGATCTTGAAGGTTGTGGGGTTGCCAGAGTTGGGAGGGTGTTGGCTCGGTTGAGAGCAGATCTTGGAGGTGAATGGCAGAGACGGTTGGTGCAGAAGCTCGGCGACGATTTCGAACTGGTGGCGCCGGAGGATGAGAGGGGCGGAGGGGGGGCTGAGCATTGGAGGTTGGTGCTCAACGTGGTTGATTTTCTCAGATCTGAGAAGTTTTTTATTTTGTTTTTTTGGAAAATAATTTTAGTTTTTTTAGTAATTAATTCATTTTTAAAGATTAATTCATATTGTTTTGAGCTTAATTAAGTTTTACTATTTTAAAATGGTGCCTCATCAGAAAGTCTGTTAGTGTTATTGACGGGAATTGGACGGAGGGAGTGATTTGAATCATTTTAAAAATATGAGGGACATCTTAAATTAACGTATAGTTCGGAGCCTTTCTTTTATATCACCCTTAGTATCATAGCTTCTTGAATACCAGCCAAACAAAAATAAGAACCAAGCTTATTTAAAAATAAATATAAAAAGGAACAAATTTCCTTTTTTTTTTTTTGTGTGTGTTGTTAATGCCCTCGTTTTAGTAAAATAGTCAATGGATTAATAACAAGCTCAAAAGGCATAAAATGCTCATCTTTGGGGCCTACCACCATGTGAGATCCAAACCATGTGCTTTAGCTATTATAAGCAATGGTCACTTTCTAACGAAGTTCATGGTGGCTTGCTCAGCTACAAAACAAAACGAAACACAACAAAAAATGTCTCGTCATCCTTTTATTTTCTCCTTTTTCTTTTCACACCGGTATATGAAAACATTAAAGGGATATTTGTATTTTGAGAGTTTCGTCCGTAGTAGTTTGAGGCCCATTAATCGCATTAAATGAAAAAAAATATAAAATATATAAATTTTGATATAAATATGACTATTACAGAGTAAAAGATTACTGATAAATTATTTTTATAAAAACTACGAGAAAATGTTCTTTATATTTTCATATCATGTATTTTTAGTTTATTTAAAAATTATATCATCAGTCTTTTATCTTATCAAATTTATACTTTTAAATTAAATTTAGTATACAAATCTATACCTCATCTAGGTTAACAATTAATTTTGACCTTTATAATGGCCAAACTATTCTTAAAAAAAAGAAAAAAAACTAAAACTTTCTAATATTAAAAAAATAAAAATAAAAAACACAAAAGAAAACCTATTTCAAGGGTATTTTGCATAATTTTAAGTCAAACTGTAAGTTTAAATTTTTTTTTATTTTTTTTCATTTACTATTTTTTATTTAAGGGTATTTTATGTATTTTTAATGTTAAAATTGATGGTTGATTATAGAAAGGTATAGATTTATATGCTAAATTTAGAGGTATATGTTTAATGAGATAAAAAATTAAAAGTATAATTATTAAATAAACTGAAAACACGTGCTATAAAATGGTAAATATCACTATTTAAGAAATCGGAACCAGCATCAATGCCCATTTATTTCATCTCTCAATGAAATATTCACAGAGCTTTTTTCTTCTTTTCTAATTTAAATAACTCCACATTGTCTTTATCTTCCGTGTGCTTTCTTGTCCAATATCAGGATAACACAAGTAACACATCCACAGTAAATTCCAAGAATGAAAGTTGTAAGGGAAAAAAATCCACACATTAAACACGGGTTAATTTAAATTTTCTGTAACCATATGAAAGTACACGACAAATTAGATAAATCCAATATTGATAGATATTTTAGAAGAAAGAGGTCAATAGTATATTTACTGACAAAGTAAAAATAAATGGCAGGAATTTTTGGAAAAGTTAGTAACAACAATAAATTTGGGATTTATACACTTTACGTGGTAAAATTTGTATCTATCCAGTGATCAAATTTGATAAATTCAAGAATACTTACTCCGTGAAACCCTAACCCTAAATTCTATGAATTTTTTTATTTATATTTACTAATTTTTCTTGTTACATAATATTTCTAGTGTTTTAGTTAATAAACTCATCTTTTACACCTAAAATCTCATTTTAGAATTAAAAATGCAATTTATTAACAGTTGTAAGAAGTATGCTATTGACTACAGTCTATTAAGATTCAAAACTATGTT